TGGCCGGTCAAGTAGGGGTTAAGGCTCAAGCCCTGCCAGCTGGTCAGGTGACAGGAAGAGGAAGGCCAGGATCCAACAAGTGGCAAGTGGAGAAGGCCAGAGGGGCAGCAGGGAGGTGGACTCCCAATGACCATGGTGCCGCGGCTGCAGTCTGTCAGAAGGCTATGCCATGCCCTGAGCCATCCTCATGATCATCTAAAGGAAGCAGGCATGTTGCCTCTCTTGTTTCTGTATTATCATTTTTCCATTATATGGCCTTAAAAGCCTATGTTTTGTGTTGAATGTTAAGACCGGTGGTTTGGGTTAGGCTATTTGGGGAAGGAGGAGGCCTCATTGGGGGCCCACTGCAGTGTGGGGACCCTGGTGTGTTTTTGGGGGGTGTTTTTTTTTTTTTTTTTTTTTTTTTTTTAGAGCTAGAGTCTGGGAGTCAAACCCTGACTAGTGGGGGTTTTGACTGACAGGCCTAGCTAGAGAGAAAAGTGGTAGGCCTACAGCAGCTGAGACCCCAACATAAAGAGGAATTTACAAATACCATCTGCAAGGCTTGGGCTGCAGTGTAGGGGAGGAACGGAGCCGCAGATAGTGTCTCCTGGCATTGGGGCATACAATGGACAGCCTCCTGCTTAATTAACAACAATTAATTAACAACAAGGCATGGCAGAAGAGAAGACGGGCGGTTGGCCCATAACAGGTGGGCAGGGCCACCAGTAGATGGACCCCGAGCAGGCCCCCTAGTTACAGTGGTCTACTCCTGCTGCATGTAGTCCTGGAGGAGCTGGGTCCGGTTCTTCTATGGGACTCCAAACTCCCCTACACCCTGTCCAAGCACCACCCTGTGGTTACAGCATCCATTGCGCCTTCGGTTCTCAACGGGCACTTCCTCTGTTCTTGGCCCCTCCAGATTCATAGATTCATAGATGTTAGGGTTGGAAGGGACCTCAACAGATCATCGAGTCTGACCCCCTGCATAGGCAGGAAAGTGCTGGGTTTAGATGACCCCAGCTAGATGCCTATCTAACCTCCTCTTGAAGATCCCCAGGGCAGGGGAGAGCACCACCTCCCTTGGGAGCCTGTTCCAGACCTTGGCCACTCTAACTGTGAAGAAGTTCTTCCTAATGTCCACTCTAAATCTGATCTCTGCTAGCTTATCGCCATTATTTCTTGTAACCCCCAGGGGCACCTTGGTGAGTAAAGCCTCACCAATTCCCTTCTGTGCCCCCATGATGAACTTATAGGCAGCC